TGTCCTACCATTCCTGAGCAACCTCTATAAATGAAACGTAACACTTTGAGCGAGGTTCTGGCTTGACATTTATTTTTGTGAAAATCTAGCTAGGGTGCCTACACTAATGCAGAAGGGCTTATTGTTTGCACAGACTTACCCTGCTGATGACAGCTTAATAAGCTCCTTTATTTTGTGTTTTTATTCAGTAAGCTTGTCAGCTTTTGTGTAGGGGCTGACCTCTGCTTTCGCCCTACCCTCTGCCCTAGCTCCTCTGAAAGGGGCACCTCTGTCCCCGTAATTTGTAGTTAAAGAGAATTGTAAAAGGAGGTGAACTGACCGGCTGTAGGGACGTGGGCTCCTGCAATACAATATAACTTTTGCAGCGGCTGGCCCTGTATGCCCAGCGTGCCTGAAAACTATTGAAGTCAGTGGGAGTTTTGGGTGCATAAAGACTAATGCAGGACTGAGCCTGTCTGACTCAGAAAATCCAAACAGTGAGGGAAGGATTCAGTCAACAGGGATATTCAAAATGAATTACAGCGCACGATGTGAGAACAGGTCAACATTTCATATCTGGCATACGTTTTTCTAAACAGACAGAAAGGCATCCCAATATTGTGACTGTTTGCTATTAGATTCTACACAAAAATATATTGGGGTGGCATTTAAATGCAGTGGCTCGAGATAGCAAAAAGATGTGGGATTGTATTTCTTTCCATTCATTTAATTGGAACCATGCTGAAAAGGCGTATGAAAACCATCACTCTTGAATATTTCTAAAGTTTAGCTTTGCGATGCCGAGAATGATGTCCAACCTAATAGAATTTCAGATAGAGGAGATATTTTGGCTCATCTTTTGCTTCCAGCTATATTCAGTTTCCCCGTGTGGTTATTTTTCTTGTTATTGTATGCGTCCAGCTATCTGTTTCTTACTTCACCGTCTGGGAATACAAGCCATTTTGTCTCATTTCAGACCTTAAAATGGATTGGACAAAAACAAAAGGAAGGGAAAAAAAATAAGCATTTTGGGTAGTACCGCTGTACTTATTTCTGCGTCTTAATAAGTCAGCTTCTTAAACAAAAGGCCTAAGAATTACTGTCTTGGAATATTTTGCATCTATATATATTCTGTATTTTGTAACATCTGTATGTTGGGTGGTGGTTCATCAGGAGGGGATGAATGTAACCATTTTAGATGCCTAACTGGCTGTTGGGACTTGCCCAGCTTGTAATCATGGTAATTGCACATACAAATATGGCCATGTAATTACATGTGCATTTTTGCATTTAGTTTCAGGAGTTCGTTTAGAAAAGTATAAATGTGGCCCAATAAATCCTTTATATCTCAGACTTCTGTGCTTTTATAACTCTATATAATTATGTAATAACTCTGCATCTGGAGAGGTTTCACTTAAGTAAAAGCAATAAAGAGCTCAGGTTAGATTATATATTTTTTGAGTTAGACCTACACTAACTTGCTCAGTACTGTGTTTGTCAGCTCATAAGATTGATTAAGTTCAGCAGTACTCGTGCAAGAAAATTTTCTTGTGAGAATAAAGAGCAATTTAATATGAAACCAAAACTGGATCAGGTTGTTTAAGCTTCCACAATGACTGAAGTGATTAAATGGGTATTAATATAGTAAATTATATACCAAATACTCAGATACTTGGGCAGTGAAGACTTTTGCCAAGGTACAAATTGGATACTAAAATGAAAGAATTACGAGCAAAGTTCCAGCTCTCTGAGTACAAATCTAAATCATTATTATTACTTTTGGCATTCATGGATTGAGATAAAATAGACACAAATAGATACTGTAATTAATTTCTACTTCTGTGTTCATATGCATATAAATAGATAATAAGACTAATTTATCAATATTTTGTGTGTACAGATATGTAGGTGTTATGTTTTTATAATCAAATGACTACGTAATTGTTGTTTGTCTTCCGTATTGCTGTTCCTGGAATGGTTTTCACAAATGTTGAGAACGTCTAACAAAGACAGTTGTCTTTTTTGTATTCAGTGTTACTGTGAACCAACAGTTATTGCAATACTGTCATTTCCCAGTCTGGTTTGCTTGCTCATTTCCCATATGGCTTTTTCCCCAGTGGATGGTATTACTGTGCTAAAGACAAGACCTGAACTCTGCAGGTAATACAGAAACAGATGTTAGATTTTGACAGTCAGAAGTGAGGATTTTCAAACCTACCGAGCTTCATCCTGCCACCTTAGTCTGCCTCCACATAAGAGGGACATGAAATACCTAGGAAGAACTGCAGAATCCAGCTTATCTCTGAGAAAAGATATATATTGTATTAAGTATTCTCATTTAATTTAATTTTTTATTAGTTCAGAAGGCTTAAACAGAATTGTGCTGATGCAATGCTCTAAGATAGTTTGCAGCACACAAAGATTTAACTCCTGTCAATAAACTGCACAAAAATGGTGTCACAGATGATAAGGAACATACCCAAGTCTCATCTGAACAGCTCTAGATTAAGAAATGATTGCTGTTGCAATCTTTGTCATGGTTGTGGCAGTAAAGAGAAAGATCTCTTTTCTTGTTTCAAATGTTCATATCGGCATCTATCACAAATTCTGTTGTGCATCGATGCCAAAATCTTTCTGGCATGTTTTAAAATAAAATCTTCTAGCTCTTTTTTTTGTTTAGGTTAATGTCTGTGTTTAAGCAGCTGTTTAGAAATACCGCACCATTTTTACACCAAAAAGAAAAATTGTTTACTTTGTTTACATTTTTGGCACCCTTTTTTCCTTTAAACGTAGACAGCTACAGTGGGAGCTAGCAGAACAGTTCATAACAAATCCCATATTTGCTGACTTTACCCTGGTCTTTGCTCTTCTGTCCGGGAGGGTCACAAGCACTCAGAATGTGCTTGACACTGGAATCTGCTCGCAGGGGTTGTGTTCAGCCTCAGCCCGCTCCCTCCAGCGATGGCACTCGCTAGTCTGGCGCTCTGCTTTCCCGGTGAGTTAGGGTCGGTCCCCGTTCGGGTCTGTATGAGGCTGGCTTCTTCTGCAGGGCCATATCCGAGCCCCCTCAGCTCAAAGGATACCCCCATCATCTTCCCTGAACTTTTCAAAACTAAAAGAGGTTTGAAAAGTCAAATTTCTCAGGGCAAGGCAGTAGAGGAATAGCAGGAGGGCTTTTTTTAATGCTGCATTTTCACACAGACCCTTTTACTGTATGGTTTATTTGACTGGGAGCAGAGATTACATTTAATTTTATTTCATGTGCATGCTGTTCTGGCTGGAAGGTTGCAATCAGATCCTTATCGGGCTCATTTAACTGCCTTTCTGCCAGGTCTTGGCAGGGATTTTGTAAAAGCCTGTCCCCCAGCCCTGTCAGACGTTGTCCCACTCCATATAAAGCAAGTCATCTCTTCTCCACAGTCTTTAAATGTTCTTCTTCTCGTGCAATTATTTGTGCAAGTGAAAATTAATCATTCAAATGTCCTTGGAAGGCAAATACAAGAAGGAGCTGGAGCATAGCTGAAATTGCCATTTAAATGCTTTTAAATTGAAGAAGCTACTGGCAGATAATATTTTGGAGTATTTGCCCTTCTTTGACCTTACTGCCACAGAAGTCCATCAAGTATAGTGAGAGGGGATTTCTGGCTGGGAAAAAATAAGTTTTGGCATTTCAATTGCTTTTCAAGCTACTTTGTCATTGAAATACACTTTGCCACTCAATGCACAAAGACTAGCCCTGTAGGAAATGTCATTTAAAGCTATTTTGTGATGTCTTTTAAGCAGAAAATCAGTCTTATTTAGCCAGGTATTGCATAGGCTAAACTAATTTTCCTCAAATAGAGTTCTGTTTCTGCATTCATGGATATTCTAATTTTTTTTTTCTTAAACATATGTGGTGGGTTGACCCTGGCTGGATGCCAGGTGCCCACCAAAGCTGCTCTGTAACTTCCCT